CCATTGGTGATTTTATAGACTTCTATCATATCTCCCTTCAGTCGTCTCTTTTCTAAGATAAAAAGTCCCAGTCTTTTAATATCTCATCGTATGGAAGCTGTTCCATACCCTAATCATTTTTATTGTCCTTCTCTGTACAATTTTTCCAATTCTAATATATCTTTTTTGAGATGGGTGACCAGAACTTCATGCAGTATTCAAGGTGTGGGTGTACCACAGATTTATATAGTAGCATTATGATATTTACTGTCTTATTATCTATCCCTTTCCTAATGGTTTCTGTTAGCTTTTTTTGATTGCTGCTGCACATTGAGCAAATGTTTTCAGAGCACTATCTGCAATGACTCCAAGATCTCTTTGTTGAGTGGTAACAGCTAATTTACACTCCAGATTTGAGAGATCCTTTGTAACTCTTCAAAGTCAGTTTTGGATTTAACTCTCTTGAATAATTTAGTATAATCTGCAAAGGGAAAACATTGTACTTTTAAAGTAAAAACATTACAATAATCTCACAATGTCCTTTAAAAGAAGAGAAGAAGAAAAAAAGCCAAAAATCCTAGCCTGTACTTTTGGGTGAATGTTCATACATCTTTCTAAAAGGAAACAAGTTTTGATTGAATATGTCTTATTTATGGGAACTATTATACTGTACACGTGGCTAGGAGACTCTCCATTTTAAATCCTTAATAATGGTGGCAGAACAGATTTTCCCATCAATTTTTGATAACAAAAATTTTAGTGCATTATAATGCTTAGAAGCACACAAGGTTCTACAGCAGAGCACGAAGGATGTCAAATTAAAAATCAGTGCCAAGTCAAATTCAGTGCTAGGGTCATCAAGAACCACCCATCAACTTGAATAGGAGCTATGCCCAATTAAATTGAGGCTGAATTTGGGTGTTTCTTTTTTAGACATCAGGTTTCACAAAAGAAGGATGGCCTTCTGGTGAAGGGGCTGGATTAAGACGCAGGAATCCTGGGTTCAGTTGCCAGATATGCCACAGACTTCCTCTGTAAACTTGGGCAAGTCATTCAATCTCTTTGTGCTTTATTTCTCCATCTGAAACAGGGAGATAAAGATCATTTCTTTCTCCCTCCCTTTGTCTGTCTTGTTTCTTTTAATTGTATGTAAGTTCTTTGGAGCAGGAACTGTCATTTACTACATAATTGTACAGCACCTAGCACAACAGAGCCCTAAATTTGGTTGGGGCCCCTAAACTCTACTATAACACAAATTAACAAAAATTTCTGCACTTCTGGTCATACTGGGGCTCACATCTACATTTGAAGCCATTTTTACAAACCACAGTTACAAACAGTAACAGCACCATGTTCAGAGTTTAGAAACCATGTTCCGAGATCTGTTTTGGGAAGCAAGAGGTGGTTGTCTATAGCACACCCATGCACACACCAGTTCCGGTGGGACATGGAAAGCAAGGCAAAACATCTCTGTATGTGATTGTAGCTGCAGCACGCAGAGCCTTAGGTGAAGTTCTTGGTCACAGTGCAGTAAAACCGAATCAAACATCTGCGATGTTTTCACAGTTACATGTATATTTCCCCACCTGTGACTGCTGACTAAGGTGTTTGTGCAGAATGACTTCAAGTGCAGCCCTGCCAGTCTAGCCATTAGCACATTCATTGTTCCTCACAGCTGGATGTTAACTATATTTCTCAAGTCACCTACAAAAATTGCAGCAGCCACACCAGCCTAGTCACTTGAGGCTCAACAATGAAATAGTTGCCTCCTGTTTTCATGAGTGGTGCTGTAAAGCCATATAAAAATTTATCCAGAGTTGTTGTTGTTCTTTCGTATGGCTTGGGTAGGTAGCAACAACTACAAA